AGCGATTATGTCTGATCTCCGCCAATATGGAGCAGCTTGACTGTTTCGTTTGATCAGTACTGGGGTCCAATATGTGCACGACGTTCTTGAGAATATTCTCCTCAAGAATTTGAGGGCTGATGGTCGATTTTGATGACCCCGTACCTAGGTTACGCTTTACTCATCGGATGCGGAGCTTTTGAAACTGCTATAATTTGCGTCCTCCAATGCGAACATACTTTAGGATAAAACCGAGCAAACAGCAACATTTTTCCTTTGTTCCATGGGTGTTTCGCAACAATGAACGTAACTGCACTTCAAAATTTCATCCCTCATGGGAATTCGGTAGCAATTTTCGATATTCCAGACACCTTTTTATGGAATGTTTGCAAAATTGGTATAATTTACTGAAGTTATAAGGCAAATTCAGCCCCCGTTTCTGTTACAGTGCACTGAATATCCACTAACTGGAACAACTGGAAAACGTCTTAGAGGGCAAAAAAGTGAAGAAATCGGGGTCGTTCATTCTATTTCTGATGCTTACGACCTCCATTTATGCGGGTATACGCACGTGAATTCAAATTTGCAGGACAACTTCTTGAAGACCACCTTTTTGAGCCTCATAGGATTGAATTCGCTGTGGTTGGATTGATACAGCTATGAGTCCATGTAGTGAAGTGAACGAGCAACGACAGCTTTCTTCCAACTTCATCTACAGATAGAGAAAAAGAAGTTGTTTGTCTTGAAAGGGGCATTTTATACTTCCACAACTTCATTTTGATGATTCCTGTCATTTAGCAATTCTTATATTTTTGAGACCTGTGAATTCTTGTGAAGAAAAATGCGAGGTAGAATGAGTGATTCCACTCTATTCACAAATTCGCAGGTATTCACAATACAGGCTATGAGAAACGTCTTCGGTGCCCCCACCTAGCCGAACTACGCTTTGAATGAGTTCGTTCAAGTGCGATAGAGACCTCCCTTGAAGGAACGCGCTCAAAAAAAAGTGTGGTTCGTACGTTGCAATGATAATGACAGAGGGTATAAATAGCAAAAATGTAAGAAATAATTCAGTGAAATCCAGCTGAGTTTCACTTATAGACCCCACGCTAGCCGTGCTAGTACTCGTGCGAGGCGAAAAAGTAGGTCGGTTGACGGTTTTCATTGTGTGCACCAGCTCTTTATACCTCATCGCCTCACTCCACCCACTTTGAAAACCGTTCCAAAAGACGCCCGAGCCGCCATATCAAAGAGCAAAAACTATGAATAATAACATAACAGAGTTGGGCATCACCCGCCAGGGGCGAAGCCCTGGTCACATCGTCGAGTCCGCCTTTGAAATTGCTATGATTCAGGAGCTACTATTGTGGCCATGCAAATCCCTTTAAAAAATTCCAAATTGCGCACAGTTTATATCACCGTGAACTCTCGATTTGCTATCAGCGGTTCCCATCTGAGGCCTTCCCACCAGGGCACAGCATTCGATGGGGATTTTGGTCGAGCTTTTACGACCCCCCTTTTTTCAGGGGCTGGTACGACCCCCCCCCATGCTCGTACGATGGCTGACATGGCTGACTGTGGTTGTGGTTTATACTCGGCGAAAAAGTTGTCGAGCGGGGGTATGTAGTAGGCATGCGACGTACATCGTACGGGCGTACATAGTACCTATAACACAGAAAATTCATAAAACTCATGAAGTGAACCACGTAACTCCTAGCCAGAAATACGACCCCCCCTCCAAAACGTCCGCAAAGCGAGAAAAATCAACTATAAAAATAAATTTTTCCCAGCCCAAATACGACCCCCCCCTTTTGGCGGCCAAATACGACCCCCCCATAGGGAATCCCCATCGAACGCTGTGCCCTGCTTCCCACCCGGTTTGCGGCAAGAGAATCGTAATCGCTGCGCCAGTGGGCGTTGCGGGCGACGTCGCCCCTGTTCATGACGACGATTTCAGGTGATATTTTAGATGGTGGTATATAGGTCGAGAATAGACAATGTATGACCAAAAATAGACATAAGTGTCTACCATGTCCTTGTTTACATGAAATCCGATGCTCCAGTTGAAATGGTAGTTCAAATTAAGGAAACGTCGCACCTATTGCCGCGCGCGCAATTTACGATTCTCTTGCCCGTCTCCCTTCCCACCAGTGGCTGATTCCTTCCTGCATCGATCACTGCTCGATCACCATTGGTAGAGCAAGGCAGCCGGACGCGAGCTCGTGCCGCGCTGCGCTCTCCACCCCCGACGAATTGCAATGTTACAAACTATATATGAACCAATATATGATACAGTATGCTTTCAGGCGAGTATTCGTGCTTGCGTGTTGAGCTGAGACTAAATCGGGTCTTCTCGTTCTTTCTTCTGCAACTGTACATTCCGTCGTCGATGTTGGTTGGAGTCGCATGGATCTCGTATTGGATTGACTGGAAAAGTACTGCTGCTCGTGTCCCACTGGCTATCGTCACCCTCCTTACGATGATCACCACTTCTCACGGTACTTTTTGATTGTTCTGGAGATTTGATTCGTTCCGAAAACTATAATGTTCTGCATGAGGTTACCTTTGAGGTTCTACTGGGAGCGGGTTTTTGCAGGTGTTACTTTGCATTTCCACAAGCTTTGAAGTTTTATATTATGATAACTGCTGTTTTATCCGAAGTTCGCGCTTCGAATGTTTCCCACAAAAATGCTGAGTTATGGGCAAAAGTCGGTGGGAGTCGACCACGCACATTGCGGGTTACGATATCTCACGATTACGGCTGACGGCTCACCGGTTAAACTTGTGGTGCTGAGGCAGCCAAGTGACGGCATAAAGCGTTGATTGAGAGGCGTCAAGCGGCCCTGGCGGCGTAACGGATAGCGCATCTCGCACGAAAAGGCGGAGTTGCGGGTCGGCGTCCCTCCTGAGCTGGTAGTATAGCAAGCCTATGAACAGCCCAAACGAACCATGAATCTGAACAGGTAGGGGCATCTAGAGGAAGGCTGCAGTGTTGATGCCAAACCATAGAAGTGTATGCCCCCGCCACAATGCGCGCACATTGTCCCCATCTCCTAAACTCGGGCTAAGCAGTTGCACGTAATCCCAAAGATAAGGGATCACACTCTTGCAGATAGAATTCTGCGACCCTGGCAGGGCGCAATAGATGCTTCCTCGAGGAAGGCTGCCCTTTTATAACGCCTATCAGCGAAACTTCACGTCCCAATAGCCCGCCACGCCCGCGCTTACGAATGGCGACGGTACGCTATTCATTCATTGCTGAGCAAATATGAAGCGAAGGGATTGGTATGAAGCGGCAGTAATGCTGCATGCATATATGGGTACACATATGCAGCCGTATCTTCAGTAGCGGTGATTGGTAAGAGCAGCCTACGGGAACTCGTCCGAAACTGATTTACAAGTCACTGAGAGCGGAAGCTTTTTCTTCGCAGGATTTTGGTTGTTTCACTCCGTTCTTTCGCCATCTCCCCACTATACAGCGCCCTGCTAGCATTCTAAGCTGAGTAGAAAACTATCGTGCCTACTGCCTTCAAGCAAAATTTCACACACAGCCCCTTAGGATCTCAACTTTCCGAACTTGGGTTTTCAGCACATCTCAGGTTGATTTGTTTCTTTCAAGCGTGTCAGAATAATTGGATTTTTTTCCAATAAGAACCTTCGGAAATACCTGTGATGGAGGGAACATTTCACTTTTGATATGAAAATACGCATTTCTATTCAATATTAGCAGTTAAGTTTCTTCGAATAGGGTGAATCATAAAAGGGCGATAGTAGATTGCTGTTGAGATTAGCAATTGCATCTCCAGATTACGACAATTGCCACTGGCGTCTTGTTGCGGCAAACTATGTAGTTCCACAGTTCAAGGGGGAACTGATCATATAAAAACAAGATGGAAGATTGAGTCCTCGCCAGATCAATCCCTTCGTGGGATGGGGCACGCACTCTACTTTCAGTTGAAATCGCGGTGGCTTATTGAATGCGATGTGGCCTATACAATGACTTGCGCCAGCCGATATATTACAATTCAGTGTTCTTGCCATCCCAGCCGAATATGGCACCAATTTACGTCACCGGCGGATAGAAGGCTTGTTGCTGGCGGGAGTTGCCGGAAGTTTGTGCTAGGACAGCGCGAGTGGTAAGGGCGCCACTTGTCACTACATCTCCTAACTGATCAATTACTACTAGTTGGTAATGTCTTGTCTGTCAACTGTTCGACTTTCACGATCAACTCGAACTCTCGCCGCCCTCTCAGACGCGGACAGTCAATCGTCTTGGGTGGGCTGCCCGCCCTGTCGGTCAGTTTCAGTACCACACCTATCGGGGCGCTTCCTGCTTGCACAAACGTCCGTCCTTTTTTCCAGTGTTTCTTACTTGGAAATCCCAGCGGTAATTCGTCCCTGACTTCAAAGAGGGCCCAGCTATCTGGCCCTATTGGCGAAGTACGTTTACACCCGTTTTCCGTGGCCCTCTGATTCGACTTCATTCAGTGGTGCCTAGGCGTTGCTGAAATTTCAAAAGAAATAATCAGGGAGGGTAATATAGAGCATGCATATGTCATTCACAGTACGCAGAATAGCTCCTAAAAGTTAGAGCTCCGATCAAGCGGCGACGCCCAATTAGGTCCTGGTTCCCAGAAGATAGTAGGAACAGCGGATGATTCAGGGAAATGGTAAGTGAGATAGATGTAGAGAAAGGGCACCAGAACAGGGTATTTCGAGAGGAAGGGGAGGGGTTGTCATATTCCACAAAATTTTTCCCCAGCGGCTGGTTTGGTGTAGAACTCACAAACCACGCAGAAGGCTGATATTAGAGCGAATGGCCCTCACATTTCGAGTGCGGTGTCGCGCAATTAGTTGTTCTCCAGTATATTTTTGCTCTCCCATCCCCCTTCCCCACAGTAGGGTCCAGACATATTTTTCATGTCAATCCCGTGAACCATTTTCGTCCATATTGCAGTGTTCATCTTCTTCTCTTTAATCGAGTACGCTGTCGTGAACTATATGGGTATACTGGATGAGCACAGGTTGAGCAGGTCGATTGCGGGTACTGTGCAGAAGAACCTTCACCTTTACGATTTCTCAGACAAATGCGCCGAAGCGGCTTGTAATCGAAGTCGAATCTGTCGAAGTGTTGATCCGACAATCACATGCATGCAATCCGTCGAGCTAGATGGTTCGCCAATTCCCTCGTAAGGATATCGCCCTCAGGAGAAGAAGGTGCGTCTCCAATTTGATAAGATGTCCTCTTGAAGCAGAGAAACTAGGCACTCGCCTCACTACTTCCTGGACCTCACCATTTGTAAGATTAGTACCCCGCAGCTACTTTTTTCGGTCAAAAGGTGCCGCAAGTACGCGCGGCCTTGGGCGATAGTATACTGGTACTGTCTCTCACCCATCTCGCTCTTACGCGACCAAGCTCATGCCAAAACCATAGCGAACGGCGCTATTTGTCCTGCCGCCCTCTCACCATTCTCCGTTATTTCTGCTGCTGTGCTTCTCACTGAGTGATTTTGTATCGCACGCAAGCCTGCCCATTGAGAATAGCGCGCGTGAAGTAATAGCCGTGTGGAGACGGTGTCCAGGTATCGGTGCCCTCCAGCCCGGTCCTCGTGCACTTTTGAGGGGAGAAGGGGCACACTACTACAGTTGTCGTCATTTCGCCACATGGCAAGGCATGTGGCTCAGCTGCACATTCTTTTCAAGATATGCTGTTTCTTTCCGAGTGCGTATACTTTTTAGCCATTTCTACGACGGAAACGTAACAAATCATTCGAGTTGCGCGAAGAAGAAATTGGATTGGTTTATGATGGCATTGAACTCAGCGACATGGGTCAACCACCACGGACAGCCGGCCATGTCGAGGAAGGATGGACGTTCCAGGTATGTTGTGCTAGTCCGATAGAGAGTTCTCAGCGGATCCCTAGTTGTCAATTCCACGATAAAATGGGAGAGGATGAGGGAGAATGAACGCCACGTTGCATCCTCACTCTCATCTGGTCATGGGGCCTTCAAACACTCGTTCCCTTTTATGCCGGGATCACTCCAATGTATTGGTCGAATGTTTGCGAGCTGTCCGCAGTCCTAGTACACCTGCACGTCGGCCTGCACGCATTTTCGCTCCTATGTATATGACTGGACTTGAAGGGAGCAACAGATACTCCTCAGGAAACAGTGCCTGCGATCAAGGCGATCAGCGAATGGCTGTGTTCAACTCTGCGCTCGCACTCGCACAGTATGTACACATCCAACCTCTTGAAAGAGCGTATAAAGCGGCCCAAACAAGCGTCGACTCTTTGGGCCTACTATCCAGGGCAGCCGCCAGTTCCTTAAGCTCGCCTAACTATCGCCAGGCAAAGATTCTCTGCACACTTTACTACGACGCTGCACACAACAAAACGCATACACGCTTTCACCGTGTAATTCACCAACTCGCAATTCACCGTGCTATCTTACAGACTGAGAAGAGCAAAGTGTGCGAAAGTCACGCGTCTGTGTTCGCTTTATCTCGCCCTTTTGAGAGGCGGAAAGGGTACAAGCTATGCGAGTGCGGACATACATGTTGAGTGTACGAAGGCATTTCGCTTATCACATGATCACGGGAACTGCCCTTAAGAACGACAGGACAGGATGAGGCTCGAGGCTTCACCTGGAATTGCACTACAGCATTAATGAGGGTCAATCAGCCCTCATTCTTAGAATCTGTTCGAAAAAAGTAAGGCACCATCTGGGTTCTGTCACGTCACGGTTCGCTTTGAAGGCACATTTCGCGAATGAACGTCATAGGCAATGAGGTTCAAACATATTTGAATGCGAGAAAATATAAGTGTGGTAAACGCCCCACATAGGATTTTTCGTTTTGCAGCACTTTGACCATTGCTTGAGCATAGGAACTAGAGAGGGCAGATGTACTGAGCGTGCCGGCGAGGTTAAGAGAGGGTGCGGACAACATGGCGATACGACCAAAAGATAACCACCACGGTGTACAAAATTGTTTTCTGAGCAGAGAAGTGTGGTCAGACTGAAGTTACAAGCGTCCTAGCATCCACACTAGTCGCGTCCATGGGACTAAGGGGTACGCTGTATGCTCCGCAGCACTTTCTCCTTATGAAGCATATTACATGTAGTAAGAGACCGTGGAATGTACCCTTTGGGCACGGACCCCTCTGTCAACCCAATAATAACCACGTGTACCGCTTCCGCTAGCAATATCACCTGTGCTCCCGTTGATCATCGAGTTCCTCGAGCGGGCGCCAGTAACGTCTCCATTCGTCCCTGCAACGTGCAAGAGTTGCCCAATGAACTCTCTCAGCTCGAGGGACACGATGAACTTCATACCATTCGTTCAGAGCTTTCACGAAGAAGTCTGACCATCGCGTAGGCGGTCGTCCAGGCGTTCGCTTGACATCCCGTGGAATCCAGTCGGTAATCGCTCTGGTCCAGCGGTCGTCCTTCGAAACGCATGACGTGCCCGGCCCACCTGATCTTCGAAACCTTGGCAAATGCGGCGGCGTCTCTGATCTTCGATCGTTGGCGGAGTGCGGAGCTCCGGATTCCCTCTCTCACTTGCGTGTAGCGGAACTCCGAGGCGTAGTTTCTAGCAGGAAGGACCGCGGAATCGAAGAGGTGGGCACGGAGCTTGGTGTTCTTCGTCTTCTTCGCTACTCCCTCGATGTTCTTGAAGGCTCCCCAAGCCGCTCGCTTCCTCCTGCTCAGCTCTGGTGCTAAGTCATTCATCATATTGATTTCACGACCCAGGTACACATAGCTAGAGCATTCAGAGATGGTCGTTCCGTTGAGCGTGATGGGCACCAGAAACCAATCCATTCTTTAACACGTTGACGACATTATGAGCCACCGGTGGCTCATAAGTGAGTGGCCACGTGGGACAATTTGAGCCACCGGTGGCTCATAACTTTCTCCATCACTTTTCGGGTTATTGCCGGCAGTCTCAATCGATCTTTTTTGTTTCTCAATTACCTGTGGCAGGTAAATTTCCAACACAGATGAGCGAGAAGAAAAAATATTGTGCCTTCATGAGATATTTTGAATTAAAAATTGAAATTTTTCAACTAGCTACTGCTGCGGCAGAAACCTCCAAAATAGTTCTTTTTGGACGAAACCTTGGACTGCAGGGACTGCGCGGGGCTCTGATCATGAATGTGACGTCATATTTGTCGTCGGCGCCATCTGGCGCTAGCGGGCGTCAACTTGGCGCTAGCAGTCCTTTTTGCACGGAATTCGACAAAAACTTTTATACTTGGGTCACTCTAC